TATCTAAGGATACCACAGCCATAGATGTGTAAGTATATCTTGATAATTGAGTTTTAAGCAACCCAAACAAGACAATATTAGTTAAAATGCATTAATTGTATACTATTATATGTAAAAATTCTTATAATCATCATAGCACATAGCCCATTATTTCATTATTTTTGAACCTTCATATACAGTCGTGTAAAAAAGTAATTGCACCCTTTTGGAAATTTATGGCTTTAACTAGGGATGTCCCGATACCACTTTTTTCAAGACCAAGTACAAGTACATTCCCTCAGGTACTTGTTGATACCAATTACCAATACTTTTTCTTAAGGGGCCATGTGACATTTTTTCTAAAAAGATACAGACTGATGATTTTAGTGCAGTTTCTCACCAGAGCTGAATACAGATGTCACCAGAGCTGAATACACGTCACCAGCACTGAATACATGTCACAAGAGCTGAATACATGTCACCATAGGTAAATGTATGTCACCAGAGCTATATACATGTCACCAGAGCTGAATACATGTCATCAGAGCTAGATACAGATCTCACCAGGCTGTGTGCCGATCTCACCCGGTCAGCATTTGTGGATCTCTGTAGGGCTCTGTGGGTAGTGGCTATGCTGTGGAGAGTTGAATGGGCGGGTGCTGCCTCTGGTGCTGTACGTGTGGTGTGGGGCTGTCTATGGCTGTGTCTGCACCGGGAAGGAGGAGCAGGAGATATAGAACCGGATAGGCACTGCCAAGGACAGCTACTGCCATGTCCCCAGCAGGCTGCCTGAGGTTCCCACAAGTGCGGAAACTCAGAGAGCCGCTGCAGTTTAAAAATGTAAAGGGTTGGTATCGGTCTTAAGAATCGGGGCATTTTCACGAGTATGAGTACTCATGAAAATGCTGTTTATCGGGACATCCCTAGTTTTAACTATCAGGACACAATAAAAATCATCTGGTCCTTAGCAGGTCTTAAAATGAGGCAAATACAACATCAGATGAACAAGAGCATGACATATTACACCATGTCATTATTTATAGTACAAACATAAAGCCAAAATGGAGAAGCCATGTGTGAAAAACTAAGTACACCCTTACTGCTTCCATAGGAATTAAGAGGAAATGCCTGCTGGGGAATGGAATCCAGCCCCTCCCCTGTCACAGCAGAGAGCCATGACAGGATCGAGAGGTGAGCGAACGCCGGTATGTATTCGCTCAATTCCCGATCTACTGAGCCGACCTGTGAAAAGCACTCACCTCATAGTTCTCCTTTAACTGATGATCAGCAAGTTTGACCACCACTATAAAAGCCGAAGTTTTAGCTGTTTGCTGGTCTGGAGCATTCAGGTGTGTGTTAGCACAATGCCGATGAGGCAAGACATCAACAATGATCTTAGAGAAGCAATTGTTGCTGTCCACCTTTTGTACAGCTGGAGTGCCACGGTTGCTGACCCATAGTTTAGAACCTCTGGTTAGTTTTTATTGCTGTCACCCCACTGGGAAAATTGACTCTCCCTTTTCATCCTGGTGAACAATATTTCTGATACAGAAAGGGATGAGAAATCCAAATTTTTCTCAGTTCTCATAGGGACTGGAGGGGAGAGAAAAACAGTGGGTACAACTGGTATGGTGACAACTGAGAGATCTCCTCTTACTTCCTGTTGGGTCTCTGGGACAGAAAATGAAGAGTTATCTCTCCAACAGGGCACAGGCAGAAAAAGACATTACAAAAAAAGTCTTAACATTACCTATTATAGCCAAAAATAACAAAAAGTTTGGCTTTACATACACCTTAAATATTAGGGAACAATGGAAATCACTCAAGCCGCCCTGTTGATAACCCGCTTAGTCAGCATGTCTGAGCGCATCCATTTCAGTTTTTTATGGTCAGATTGTTGCATAATCACCTGAATTTGTGCTCTCTTAGGGGAAATGTATGGCCCCATATACAGGCTGGGATTTATGGGAAGGTGTCAAAGGCCAGTAGCCATAATATAGAAGGCTAACACACATCCTTGTTTCATTATTATTTCATCTGTAAGTTTCTAGAGAGCAAAGTATTAGGAAAATAACATTTAATAACATACGGAATGCAGATTTTTATAGCATGTAAGGTGTATAGAAAGGCATGACTGCAGAAGGTCCCCTTTTTGCTGAAGTGTGCAGGATCTGGGCTGTATAGTATAGAGTTTCAGGTTTTACATGCTACCTTAGAACCACATTAGACTTTTAAAGTTGGTTCTATATAACATGTATATCCTCCCACTACGTCTGTGCAACAAAATGCTGTGATTTTACTTTCTAAATACAGACCCAGGTGACACTATGGGGTTGATATACTAAAGGCAAATAGGCCATTCACTTGATAAGGGAATTTTCCCTAAGTTTAGAGGTGAAGCTCTGCTGACTTACATCACCTAATCATATCCAAGCAAAAATCCTTTCTTTTTTTTAAATTTTCTTGCATGTCATTGGATATTATTTGCAAAGTGACTTTTCACCACATTCACTGAGCTAAGAGAAAAATCCCCATGGAAAGTGAACAGCCTATTTGCCTTTAGTAAACCAATCGTGTGGCTTGACTATTCAAACCTTATCATGCTCATTCAGTAAAGCACTTCAAAGTGAGCCATACCAACCAATCAGAAATAATTTTTTTGCCGAAATGATTGTGGTAATTTGAATCTTGATTTGCTCATATGGGTACTTTAAGTATCTTTATTGCACCATTGTACTGATTTACTTTACACACACTTAAAGAATAACTAAACTGTCAGAAAATAGAAAAAATGTCAATAAAATGTAATAGAAATTTAGTAGCTTTTAAACATTTATTTGTGAGTGGCTTAGCCCATGGATGCATTTTTTGAAGCAGGAAAGTGGCCAGTTTGATTGGGATTATACATTTCTCTAGTGTTTCTGCTTTCAGTGGGTGATTTCTATTTTGTCCATTAATTTTGTCAATTTCCTGCTGAATCAGCTGAAATTCCATCCTTGGTTTGACTAAACAGGCCGAACAGTGATTGCAACCCAGCCTTTCTGGTTTTGTCAGGGGTGCCTTCAAATTTTCGCAGTTTCATACATTTCTTTGGTGCAGGCGAGCCAGCCACCAGCACCATAGAAATGCATGATGCTAATCGGGGAGGCTACATCCAGGAGGACCTCCCTGAGCATTCACAAGAGAACAGGAGTCCTCCTCCATCCAGACCTGCCCCCCACCATGGCCCCTGCCATGCTGCCTTATGAAAAAATAGGACTCTGATGTGAAGGGGGGCCCTCTGATGTAAGAAGGGGGGACTCTGATGGGAAGCGAGGGAATCTGATGCAAAGGGGGGACGACTGTGATGGGAAAGGGGCTCCTGATATAAAAGGGGACACTCTGATTTGAAGAGTTTATTTTTTACGTGGGTCCCCCCTTAAAATCTATACCAGACCCCAATTTAGGATAAGGGTTTGTTATAGATTTTTGGGGAAACCACACTTCGTTCTTTAAATTTAAATTTTTTACATTTTAGACAGAGCTGGCATACTTTTAAAGGGTGCTGCAACTAAAAAAAGGTCACAAAATTCCGTTGTATCAGATGCAGTCACTGTTAGGGTATTAAGACAGTCATGTGCACCAGATATCAGAATATGATAGCCAATAAGGCTATCTATGGATTGTGAATCGAGTGATTTTTCTTTTTAAGGTGTATAGCCAGCTTAATGGCTGTGCCTACAGTGAAGAGTTTAGCTGTACATACAGGTGTGCTGTGTGATTACACAGAGGCCTATAGGCAGCAGCATGGTAGGGTGACAACACTCCTTCTACATAGATTACCACCAAGTCAGCATTGTCACCTGAGGACAGGTGGTTCAGAGGAGGGCACATACTGGTAGGATCACCAGGTAAAAACACAAGAAAAGGTACATGCAAGGTAAAAAGAATACCTTCACAGGAGCTGAGCTTGCATATACTTTTTTTTTTAGTTTACATACACTTTAACCTGCTAACTACAGCTTGTACGAGCGTCTAATGTGATTTCATTTTTTCAAGAGACTTCTTTTCCCATAGGAACCCCAGTAATTCCACTAGCGTATATTGCAGACTAAAAGAAATCTTTTTGAAAGTGTTTTGCAAACGTTACATATACAGTATATGAAATTTCATTTGTATCTTTAGCTTTAAAAAATATTCATTATAAAATCAGTAAAAAGCATGAACCCAAGTCTCTTTATAAATATTTATTCAAGTCATTGATAATCATTGAAATGTGTGTGATGCAAAATATTTACAGCCAATACTGCAGATTATTGTTGGCCATATCTAAGGATAATTGCCATTTCGGTTTTACAGATCTGCTACAATGTACACAAATCTTTGTGAGATTATATTTTGTATCAAATTCTAGGATCATTTTATTTTTGGAGAAGCCCAGGTACATTTTTTTTTAAATCAGGAATTCATCTAGCAGTTGTTCATAGATAAAGCAATTATTAATAGCTTAACCCTTGTTCTTTGTTCAAGTTTTTCATACAAAATATTTAATATTTATGACATTTAATTGAAAAAAAATGTTTTGCATGCATTTTAGCATGTAGGACCTTATGACAAGACCATTCACATCCCATCCTTGTCCTTCTTCTCAGTCCAACTCATTTTCCTTCTACGTTCATTCTTTTATGCTGCTCCCCATTTTGAACCTTTACTTACAATTACCTATTTTTTTTCGTAAGTTACTTCTTTTTTTCCACTTACTTTTACCTTCTTTTCTAATTACTTCTACTTTCTTTTTTTGCTTCTTCCTTCTTTTCTACTTCTACCTTCTCTTGACTAATCTCCCCCACAGATAACACTATCTCTTACACATCACTTAGATGCATTTCTGCATGGTGAGGGTCCACAAAAGTGCATGCTACATGTGGCTGAAGATATTATAGTACTCATGGATTGACAACACAAGTTGATGTTCAACCAATAAGGTGCTTAGCATCTAGATTAGCCTGTAAAGTTTCCTTGTGTCCAAAAACATCAGGAGGCTAGGTAGCTGTGAGGAATTCCATGAGCTGCTGTAGTGTTCCAACCTTCTGTGACTGTACAATGGTTTGACGACACAATGGACAGAGGTTTTTCTCACTTTTCACCCTCACTGCACACTGTTCACAGAAATTGCTGTGCAAGCAGGGTAATAACAAAGTGTCCGCTAGTCTGTCCTGGCAGATTACACAGGGAGCATTGTCCTCCTTGTAAAATGGAGGGTATCCTGATTCTGAGTGAAAGTTCATTGTGGTGGATTTGTGCAAACACTGGACCCTGGAATCTGAAGTTATGTCCAAAGTTGATAGTGATTTCCCCCTTGTACATTTTTCTGGGAACCCTGTAAAACATTTGGAAAATAAACAGGTTAGGTTTTATATCTCTGTTGCTACTACTATGAAATAAAAATAAAATCAGACAGCCCTAGGAACATGTCAATGAAAGCACATATTAATAGAAGCATATAATTAACTATTTTTAAAGATGTTTCACAATATCTGAATTCCCAGACACTGGGGCTGCTGGGTATCGGGGCATATACATTTACAATAAATAAAACACAAATACAGGTGTGCTATTGTTTTTGTTCTATTTATATATGAGCAGCATATTCCACAATTTCTCTACGCAATGCATAGAACCATTAACATTATGCTCTGCTGCAGTATAAAAACATGTAATCTAGCTCCAGTTGGATCAGAAGCCAGTTGTTTACTGGTTGGTTTTTGGATTGTGGTAGGAAACCTGGAGGAAATCCACCCAAATGCCTACAATTTCCATGCAGATAGCATTTCTAGGGAGAGTAGAACTAGGGACTCTTGGGAGATACAGATGTATGAAGAGCATGCAGGAAAATTTTTATTTTGGCCATATTTACAGGTATTCATGCCATATGTATTTTATATGGATTAATTCAGTGTACTGCAGTGAATAAGAGGTTAGCAGGACAAGGGTAACTGTTTAGCCACTGTGTTGCCCTGGATGTATACAGTTACAATACATATGGCATAAGTCAATGGAAACAAGGGCAAATAGACTCATCTTTTGTCCTCTTTATTCACATCATTCTCTTAATATGAATTTGTATCTGAATTATTTCTTCAAGTTCTGATGACTTGCTTATTCTTTATATGTAATGCATTTTCTCTCAATTTATAACCAATTTTCATCTTTCCTGCTTTTTTTTTTTATCCATATATCAGCCAAAGGACTAGAGTGAATAAACACTTTGGGTGACATTAGCTGAAAAACTTAAAAAGATGCTAGAAAGTCACTAGTAAGTGAGCATGATGATTAGCCAAACACATATGCTATATGTACTATATAAACCAATGTCATCAGAACATACTGAAATTATTTGAAGTAGGATTATTATATATACAGTATGTTACTATGAACATGTGAGTGGCCATCGGCCTAGGCTTGGCTTTAGTATTTTATTGTACAGTGACCTTAGAATTATTTGTTAACAAAGCTAAGATAGCAGGAAACTATGCTTGCAGAAGAAAGTGTAGATTTATATCAATAAAACTTACAGGGTCCCTAAACCATAACAATGAACTTATCTTATTTGATCTGTTAAATATATCACTGAAAGTTTTACTACATCGGTTTCAGTGCATGTTGATCCTGCCAAAACTCCTTTGAGCTGGCATCATCCTGTGCTATCTGGCTTTCATATCTTCTGCATTGTTCCCAGTTACCCCCGAGGACTGCAACACCAAAGAGGAGAAGAGTAGGTTTCTGTTGTCATGTCCTGCTGTTCTTATAAGGGCTAGTTCACACCAAGCACGTTCCAGGAGCAGAGCAGAGAAGTTACAGACCGGATCAAAACTGCGTCCAATGTATTCCAATGATATTTTGGGCTCTAGTTCACACCGCAGCGTTCAGTTCCAGAGAATGTAAAAAAACTGCAGCAAGCCCTATTTTACCTGCTCTGGAACGCATGTAAATGCATCAAAATCGCATGCACTAAAAGCCCATTTTAAACTAAAAAAGAAAGTTATTTTTTTGGCAAAAAAGACCCTGAAAACGGCAAAAATGAGGCAAAAAAAACCGCTGCAAAACACACTGCACTGCGTGTGCAGAAACTCATGCATATCTGGTCTGCATTCGGTGTGAACAAACCCTAATGTGGGTTGACCGAGCGTCAACTTAGAATGTGTGTTAATGGCAGAAACACCAGGTGAAAATAAAGGGGAAAAAAAAAAAAGCTCAAATAAAGAAAACTAATGCAGCCACCACACCTAAGAGCTGGTAAGCTGCAATTTATTACATTTTTGGTTTTTGGGTTTGGTCAAGCTTTAAACTTCAATGGCATAGGATTAACTTAAAGGGAGTTACATGTCTTTTATTGGTGTCCCTCCATCTGAAATATTTTGTCCGTTTATGCAAATATTTATTCATACTTATAAAAGTCTTTGAGCTTAGTGTTATATTTATTAATACGTTTTGTTGACTATCCCTCTCTCTGTAAAGCTTGGGTGGAGAGGTTTAATTAGATACGATACATACTTTAGAGCAAATCAAAGTATGTGAATAAGGAAGTAATTATACAATTGCTTATAAGAGAAACTGAAAATAGTCTGACCTACTATACTATTGTTATAAGTCATCTAAATGCTAATGATGGTTTCCAGTGATCGGATGAGAAACTGCATACTAAACTAGCAGGTGTTATCCTGGAAGATACAAAGTAGCAAAAGGGCGTGATCCAGGAAGAGCATAAGACGTATTTGGTGAAGAGGGGTGTTCCAGGTCAACAACATTCTTTACCAGAAAAACATGTCTACTAAGTCAAAATAATTACCACTCTAAAGTTCCCACATTATTCAAGGTAGAGTGACAACCATCTGTACTACACGCAAAGAATAAAAAATATAGAGACCCTCTTTCTGGGCTTGAACTATGATGTCATAATGAGAGCTTCCTTAACTTTTACTAAATCAAAAGTTTTACAAAGCAGTCAACTGACCTTTGCTAGGTTGGCGGCGGCAGCAACAATGAGATTCTGTCTGCTTCGATTGGCCATCTGTAAGATAAAGTTTAACATTAGCTTCACAGTAATAGCAAAGTAAAATATGACTGTTAAAGCTTGAGTCCACCAAAAACCTGTTTGTTTGTTTTTTTGTTTCATGTGCATACTCAAGTAAAAGTATAATTATGGGCAAAATAGAAAATTACAGATAGGACACTGTCTGTCACTAGCATTAAAAGAGAACTATGGGACAATTTTTTTTTTTGCCACAGTTCTCTTTTGGGTCACAGGAGGACATATACTAATGTCCTCCTGTGACCCAAAACTCAGCATTTGGCATAACTCAGCGCTGCAGCCGGGACGGATCCCAGCAATATTGTCCGGATCCACCCCGCTGGCTGATTGACAGCTGGCTCTGCCTCTCTACAGGCAGGGCCAGCTATGCCCGTCCCCTCCCCTGTCCGTTCCTCCAGTCAACGCTGGAGAAACGGAGAGGGGAGGGGGGAATCCCTGCAGGGAGCGGTAACAGTGGCAGTCGCCGCTCTCTGCAGGGAGAAGATCGGGAACCCAACAATCAGCGGTATGCCATCACTCATTTCCCAATCAATACAGCTTCAGTGTCACACATCGGCTCTAATTATGGGGATGACAGTCCCCATAATTCTCCTTTAACACAGCAGTTTTATTACCTGTTGAGTTGATACTGCCAGTAGATCATAACTCCAACTAACAAATTTTAAGCAGATACAGCAACAGTTTTGTTTTCTTCTTTTGGGAAAAAGGTTTAAACCTTCTGAATAAAAGCCTACCATTGTAAGCATGCCTGGGCAGTGTTGTGTGGTTTGTCCCAACCCTGTAACTGCCACATTTGCTGGACAGCTTGGCCTGTTACAATAAAAGGAACAATAATGGATCTAATGGCAGGATCAACAGTTAATAAAACTGTGTTACAAAGGGGGACCCAGAAAGAAAGAAAATGCTGTGTAAATGTTACTGACGGAATGCATCATATATGCCATTTTTTATTCTTCCCATAGCTACAATTTAAATCAACTTTGGGATGATAACAGTAGAATCTCTTTACTTGTGTTTCTATCTCTAACCAAATGCAGCAGCCATTGTGAAAGGCTTTCATTCTTGCTGCTTCATTTACTATTTGTTTTAGAAAACAGAGTAAGTAGCAGGAGAATATGTGATTGGTATTGCAGGAAAATAACTATTTGCGTCACTCAAAAATATGAATTAAAAGGTGATTAATTATTCAGTACCAGTTTTGGTTGGACTTCAGAGCTTTCATACTGGCTCGAATTGCTAATCAAATGTAAAGATCAAGTTAGACCACTTACTAATTAGTTTGACAGTCTTTGTCCTTCCATAGATATCCAGCAGGACCCAGACTGGAGTTCTTTTTGGAATTCCTGAGAAAAGCACTTTGGGTTGAGAACTCCCAGGCTTTTGAAAGAGTGCCTGTCCCTTTCGATTGATCCAGAAGCACAGTTCAGCTCCCTTCTCACAAAGTTCTTCCGGTATACCTATAGCCCAGAACCCAGGATTGACAAGAAGATTTGGGCAAGCAAATGGTGGTAAGGAACTAGCACTGATCTTGTTGGGATCCACAGTGGTGAAGCCCACTCTTAGAGCACCATGCCAGCTTAACTCTTCTTCCAGAACTTTAATCCGGACCTTTTCTCTGGGCTGCAGCGGTCGATTGGAGAAGACCAGCCCATCATGGAAGCTGTGGAACCGTGTTGCCTGGTGGAGGCAGCAGTTCAGGGAGATATGAGAGCCTCTGCAGTGCGGGTGAAACGAGAGCTCTGAAGCTAAAAGCAAAAAAAGATGAGAAAGGAGTCAGCAAAGTGAAGGTTATATGGATGACATTCTACAAATATGAGGAGAAAAACAAAAAAATATATATATTTTTTTAAGGTTTTGGATAAAGCAAGGTAGGGTTATAACCCCTGTCAGCTTATTTTGCCATCTGTGTCTATTGGAGAGATTTCCCTTCATTTCTTGTCTAATAGCCACAATTGGAGGTCATAGGAAATCTCTTCAAAGTGAGGGAAATCCCTGGTGGTCAGCAAAACTAGTGTCCCTATTGGAAGAATTACGATCTTTTTCTGTTCTGATGACATGAGATTTTTTTCTAATTTTCAGTGATCTCAGTCACCAGAAAAAATAGAGGGGGTGAATAAAAATATGACAGGTGTTCTAATCCCTCTACACGCTATCCAAAACGGAAAAACAAGTTTTATTATATTATTATACAGGATTTAAAGAGCGCCAAAAGTTTGCGCAATGCTTTGCAATATAAAGAAGTCATTACAATTACAATACAATTCAAGACTAGATGGTAAAGGTAGAGTTGCCACCTTTTCTTCCAGCGAAACCCGAACACTGTAGCAACTGACGGAAAATATTCACAGCTTATTCATATGTAAATAGCGCCACCAATTCCGATGTAAATATCACAGTTGAGACTATTTTCAGTGGGGGGCCAGTAGCCCCTATCTTGATTTTGGTTGCCCCTGTCTGCCTGACGTCTTGTGTCTGGGTTTCAGCTGCTATGAAACCGTGACACAGCATGCAAACCCCTGACTGTCCGGGTGAATCCTGGACAGGTGGCAACCCTATGGTAAGGAGGGCCTTCAGGATTTTGTCTTGGTAAGGGCCCTTTTTACCAAAAGTTTTACTGAAGCCAGACTGAAGTTTTGGCTTCAGTTGTACTTTAATGCTCAAAGCCAAATGAGGAGCGTGGGGCATATAGATCTCTACTGTAAGCAGTAGGCCCCCTTTAGCATAACAACATGTTGAAGTTTATTAACAGCTCTAGGGTCACACATTTTCTGTAGCCTCTTTAATCTGATTGGTTACCCCATGAAACAGATAAACGTCCACTGCTTGTTATCTTATCGCTAATATATCACCACAGAGGACAATAAAAGAAGTAGGAACCAAAATAAGAAGCAGAGCAGGTGGCTTTGTGGGGTTTATCATTTGCTGGTCTATTGGATTCAGTTAGCACATTGTTCCCTGGGTGTAGTTATATGGCAGGAGGAGATAAGTTACAATAAAGCTCTGATAAATATGTCCTTTTAATAACCTTGTATATATAAAAGTAGGTTTTATCCCAGATCTAAATTGCATCCGGTTACATTATGCAGGTGTTCTTCATATGAGTAATGCCAATAAGAGTTACACATTAACTAAGCCTGTCCATTCGCAAGATTCTTGGCAGTAGAAAGCGAATGCGCATTCTGTGGTTAATCCCTTTTATTGTACATTGTAACCGACTGTACATCCTCACATGTTTCATAACCATATAGTGTACCTTTGGTCATAAGATAGGATGAGTTCGAAGGCTGCCAACAAAAATGGTGAAAGGTCTAAAAGATTAATCATATCAGGAGAGACTGCGGTAATGTAATGTGCAGTCTACAGGAAAGAACAGAAAGGGGTGACATGATTGAAACAAGGAGGGGGGTCATTTTACTAGGAAGCTAAGATCAAGAACACGGGAAAATGAAAAAAAAAATCCAGTCCTGACTGCCTCTCTTACCCTTCACTTCAGAGGTCTAATGACATGTGAGTCATCACGTCTAATACAGTGCATTAGACATGAGGAAGAGAGGCTGCAGGGACCGGTCTAGCATCTCCCCACCCCCCACTGCAAAGGCTACGTTTTATTCTGGTCAGAGTTCTTCTTTAAACATGCTTGGGACAAACATAGATCAAAACCTAGACACAAAATGTAAAAAAAAAAGAACTATAAAAAAGGGGAAGACTCAGCAGACCACTTGGTCTTTTCCGGCCGTCACCCTGCGATGTTGCACAACGTTTCCGTATTTTATAATTTTTCTAGGCCAGAGAACCAGGTTTCACTTCAAACAAATTACCGAAAGGGACTTTTTTTTTCTTCTTCATTCATTGTGGTGCAGCTTATTCATAATGAAGGGGCAGCTTTAATGCAATGCACAGTAATGTGTGCCATAATGTACGCATGCATTAACGCACTGCAACAGAATGCATAAAGTGACATTAAAGGATAAAAATACCCCTGCCTTCCCCTCCCCCAATGCTGGTGTATGGACTTACCTTAAATGATGCCTCTTCATTACGATCTTCTTCTTTCCAGTAGTTTTCTGGAATCCCTCCAGCGCTGACTGCTGTGTTTCTTTTGTTTTCCACTGTGTCTGTGAGGGTGCACGCTCCCAGCTGCTTGCATTGATTTACACTGTCAGGGTTATTCACAAAACGGTGAAGAGTTTGGAGAAGGCAGGAGAAGTGGACAATCTAGGTAACAAAATAGCTGATTTGGACAAATTCTCCAATTAGCTCACTTTCCAGTTCAGCTATGTTGTCCTAGATTGTTCTCTTCTCCTGCCTTCTCCAAACTATTCACCCTTTAGTGACTGACTAGCCCTGTGTGTTTCTCATCTTCTCCCGGCCTGAAGATCTCTACAGCGCATGCGCACGCCCCATGATCCTTCGGGGCCCTTTAAGAATTTTTCAAATCTTCGGACGGGAGCGAGCGGCAGAGACACAGGTAAGTAATAAACTTTTTGGTGACTTTTCCTCTTTTTTTATGTTTTTGCATATACCTGGTGCTTGCTAGCAATAGATACCTGCAAAAAAACCCAACTGTTTAATTGTGCTTTAAGTGTGAATGGGTCCATTTAAAGGGCCGGTGTTGGTGGGCGTTTGCTCCTTTCAGAACTGCTTCTCTCTCTATACAAGTCAATGGAAACACAAAAGGTGCTGAAGCCGGTCAGCAATGAATTGTGAATGATCGCAGAAGCTTCTCAAACTGATGTCTCAAACAGGCTACATGCACTCGAAGTCTCTTGATACAGACCATATAACCCAACTGAACCTATGCTTTGTTTTCTTTGGAGATATTCCACATCCTCCCGGCCAGTTTGTTGTAGAAAAGGACCCTCGCTCTTTGTGTGGAAGCAGTTCACTCTCTGCAGAGCCAGACCTATAGCTTTGCAGTCAGCAAAGTTCAAGCTCCCCACTGATCGGGAAGCTCTTGCTCTGACTCAGCTGAAGGTATGTCAGACCTCTGCAGAGGGACCACTGCTTCCCCACAGAGAGCAATTGTCCTTCTCTGCAGCATGGTGGCAAAGGAACAAGCTTTTCTACTGAGGTTGTGGCTGCTTTCTAAAAAAATATATCTGTAACTTTGCACCTCAGTTTGTTGTAGTGAAGGACCCTTGTTATCTGTGTGGAATCAGTGGACTCTCTGCAGAGATTCAACATCCCCTGCAAGATCAGACCTATAACCTTGCAGTCAGCAAAGCTCAATCACCTTTTGTTTAGGTGCCCTGTAATGTATTTAGCTGATTTTAACTGGAAGTTTAAAGCTGACTGTACAATCTCCTATAGAATTACCAAGGGCTTACCTGATTGTATATTAATTGTTTTAACTGTTCAGATGCTAGTACAGTTAAAGAAGCTTGTACAGACAAATGGTAATAGATTCTGGTCTACATTAACAGAAATCTGAATAAAATATTTGCATATCAGCTCATATACAGTATTAGAAAGGAAACATCCTCTTTAATAAATATAATGTTCATTCAGTTGCTGCATGCATACATTGGGCAGGAGATGACAAGCTTGAAAACATAAGTCTGCCATCAGGTTTATTTCCTTTGGCAGTGCAAGTGACAATGGTGAGACGTAACCCAGCAAAACTAGTTAGTTTGTATCTGTCATTAAAGTTGTGAATCTTACAAAGTTTGTTTTACATTTATATATATACACATTATATATGTATATATTATACATACTTATACTTTGTTATTAACATTGTTTCACCTTATTCACCAAGCTCAGTGAATATTCACTTTGCTTAGTGAACGGTCTCCAATCAAACCCAATAAAGCAAATGCAATTTTTCAATTACGATAAATCAGACATTCTCCAATGATGATTAGCTAGAGTGGTTAAGAGTACCTGTCACTGCGTTACATTTACAGTATGTATTATTTTTATATATGCTTTGTTATTAGCATTGTGTCATCTTATTCACCAAGCTCGCTGAATATTCACTTTGCTATGTGAACGGTCTCCAATCAACCCCTATGTGCCAAATACAATTTTTTAATTACAATAAATCAGCCATTCTCCTATGATGATTAGCTAGAGTGGTTAAGAGTACCTGTCACTGCGTTACATTTACAGTATGTATTATTTTTATATATGATGATTTGCTGGAGTGTTGCAGAGTACCTGTCACTGGATTACATTTATGTTTAAATTTTATGTATGCTTTGTTAATTTGCATTCTTTCACCTTATTCACCAAGTTTAGTGAACAGTCACTTTGCTAAGTAAACGGTCTCTATTCCTTAAGTATATCAACCCCAATGAACCAAATGTAATGTTTCAATTACTATAAAGCAGACACTATCCTACGATGATTTGCTGGTGTGGTGCAGAGTACCTGTAACTGCATTACCTTTATGTATTATTTTTATATATACTTTGTTACTGCCAGTGTACTCTTCAATTCATTTTCATTATATGTGGTTTGCAGTGTGTAGTTTTAGGTTCAACGCTGCGGAAAAATGTGCTACATGACCAACACGTACAGTGTAGAATGATAACATATAAATCTCACAATAGGAAGAAGTTTTAGCAGATTATAACGCTCATTTCCTGTTTTGCACAAAGGGACTATTAGTCGCCAATTTCTGTAAAAAAATGAATTTCATATTCCGTTCTCACTCACTTTCCTCTCTCACCTTCTCTCTGTCTTCTATTTATGTCCCTCCATATAAATGTATACATGCACATAGACAAACCCATGCACATTGAAATAACTCACCATCGTTCTCCGAGCTGCAGGTTAGCCCCATGGTGTGTGTAGATGGAATGTGTACACATAACCATGTGTGTAAGTTTATATTCAGCAGAGGGCCTCCCATCGCAGGGCATTCCCCCTTTCAATGCCACACCTACTTTCCTTTCTCTGCAGACTGGAAATTCCATAATAAGGAAATACAGCCATAGTTAAAAAAGATTTCAAAAGCATGACTGCATAGCAAACAAAGGCATGTGATGAAAGGGCTGTCTGCCAATAAAAGACATCCGTATACACGTTTAGAAATCGAATCTTGGAGTGGAGTTTAGACAAAGCTCTTGATTGTGAGACTCAATTCTATGCAGAAGAATACTTTCATTAAGAACAAACCAAAAATAATACTAAAAGATAGTTTAATGCATAGCAATGCAATTGGGGGAATGTATCAAAACTGGAGCAGACAGAATCAGGAGCAGCTGTGCACAGTAACCAGCTTCTCTCTTTCATTTGAAAAGCTTAACTGAACAAACTGAAGAGAGAAGCTGATCGGCTGCCCTGGGAAACTGCTCCAGGTTCTGTCTGCTCCAGTTTTTATGAATTCTCCCCACAGTATATGTTGTAACCTCAGTTAAAGTGCAACTGAAGTAGGACTGCAACAACTAATCGATTAAATTGATAATAATCGATTATGAGAATAGTTGCCAACTATTCTCATTATCGATTAGTTGGTTTGGGGAGAGAGACAGAGATAGAGAGAGAGATAGACAGAGAGAGACACAGAGAGAGACAGAGAGATTTTTAAAATACAACCAATCGATTAATCGAAGTTAATAATCGGCTAACTAATCGATTATGAAAATAATCGTTAGCTGCCTGCAGCCCTAAACTGAAGCCAGAATATTTTTTAGTTTTGAGTGGTGCAGAGAGGGATTAGAAGACCTGTCATGTTTTTATTGCTGCCTGTGTCCCCTGTTATGGAGATTCTCCCTCTCTACTTTTTCTAGTGACCTTTATCACTGTAAGGGAAAGAAAATCCTAAATTTTGGGTTGCCATCAGATCAGGAAAAGATGGGAAATCTTCCGATGGGGACTTCCCCTCACTTTGGAGGGATTTCCTCTCATTTCCTGTTGCAGCTATCGGACAGGAAGTGAAGGGAAGTTTCCCCAATAGAAGACAGATGGCAAAAAACAGCTGACGGGGGTTATAACACTCTTACTTATTTTATTCAAAACTAGAAAAACTTTAATTACTTTCCTGACTTTAAATCTTTTAAAGGCCGATTCTACTTAAAATAATTTTTCTTAAAGGAGGTCTTAAGGTTCCAATATCACATCAGGTATTCAGAACAAGCATTGTGAAAGAAATACAAAGGCTTTGTTATTATACCCCAAAATACTTAAACCTCATATCTTTGCCTCTTCTGAGTAGCACCTTCTGTTTGCTTTTGGGCTTCTGAGTCATGTCCAACAACGTCTTGCACTTCCTGTCACATGCAGCTGGGCTCGAGGCTGTAGGACAGGTGAGTGGGGATGTGGGCGGGACATTAGGGAGGAGGGGTGGAGCTGTAGAGCTTTAAAGGAGTAGTGAAAAAAACCCAGTGTACAAGATTCTGAGCACAGTGCTTCTGTATGTGTGACTACAAGGGGAGAGAATGTAAAGGCAGAATGAAATGGTGAACACAGACATACAGCAAATGTATGTAAATGTGGATGAAAATAACAAAGATATATTCACCTGAACCTCGGAGCTGGCTGGCTGCTAGACTGGTCCATCCAGCCTCTCTCCCCCTCCGCTGCAGCAGTCTAAGGTGCCTTATATCATCAGCAGAGAGAGTAAATCAGGCCCGGGCTGAAAGGGCGCGACTAGCTACCGCTCCCCCCCTCCGCTGCTCTGCCAGGCAGGCAACACTGAACTGCAGGAAAGCAGTGCCTGCACTGGGGTCAGTCAAGTTAGGCAGCCGCCTCAGCGCATGCCGGGGCCTTGCAGCTGCCCAGTTGTTGTGATTACAGAGCTGAAAGTTCGGCATCAGCGGCGGGAGGAACGCAGGAGGAGAGGTGAGCTTTGTTTCTAAAAATCACTGGCCTGATAAGTCAATTGAGGGGAGGTGAGAGAGGTAGGGGGGTTAGTGTACACAAATATGTGTATGTGGTGAGAGAGGTGGGCACAGTCAGAGGGGAAGAGCTGGAAGAGGGTTCAGTGGATACATAGGCGGTGAGAGAGGTGGGCATAGTGGCAGGGGAAGAGCTGGGGAGGGGTTAAGTGGACATAGAGGTGGTGGGAAGAAAGCAGAGGGGTGGCACAGTGGCAGGGAAATTATCATGAATAAGCAGCCCATCAATGAAGAGCAGGTGTGCTACCAGTGTGACCAGGAACTGGCCCAGAGCTCCCTAGCACCGTGGACCAGGGTATGGGATCCAGCACCAGTCTTCTATATATTATGGTGTTCCGCATTGCTGTATAATGTATTGCTGGGATTTGTAGTCTTCTATACAGTGGCAGAACTACCAGGGTCACAGTGGTTGTAGCTATGATGGGGCCCTAGCATTTTGCCACTAGGGGGCCCTGCAGGTTACCGGACCCCCCTTTTTTCAGTCTGTGGTTCTCCATCCTTCAGGCTGCATGGATCCTTGAACTATGGTTTGGTGGTTTGTGTGTGTGTGGGGGGGGGGGTGGAAGAGTTGACTCACTAATTGGAGCACCTGAATCCAATGATTTTGAGGGGTGTCAATTTTGGTACTGAGGTTTGTCGCCATTTCAAGGGCATGCACAGTTTTAAGGCTTGACATTTTTGGTATCTATTTACTGGATGCAACCTCTTCTTTTAAATTTTACTTATAAAATGGGTATTATATTATGTTTGTGTGCAGAAAAAGTTATTTGCATGCATTTTTTATAATAAACATAGGTTTGATAAACAGTTGCGCAAATACCATGTGATATAAAAAAATTGCAACTGGCACCATTTTATTCTCCAGGGTTTAAGAAAATATATACTTCAGGGGGCTTTAACTAATCTTCAGGCCTAAAATGTGTATATTAATCATGGTTGCAAAAAATTTGCAGACAACTCTGGTAGCAAAAGGGTTAAATAAGCAACGGGACCTGTTTCTGCATTGTAAGCACATGTAATCGCATCCATTAGAACCCTCTGAAACATGATGTAAAGGCAGGCATTATGTAAATGCACTCGTGAGAGGTGTGACAAATGCATTATGGGAAGCTAAAATCCGTGAATAACAGCAAACTGGGTTTTCTTTCTCTCAATGACACTTGACTAAACTGCATAATAAACGCATCAACGCCTTGTAGAAAAGACATAAAAATGAGAGCGTGATTTATTGCACTTACGTGCTTTGTAAGATCATCTATGCAAGTGTTAAACAGACTGCATGGAGCATAAGGCTAGCTAAACATGACCCAATATCAGCAAGTGTTACGACAAGTTGAGCATTGATAGCAAAAATTTAGCCCATGTAACAAAAACAAAAAACAAAATGTCCAAACACTATTCCTCCAAAATGAAGGCTGGCCGAGGTTTGTTTGTCTCTTAATGAGCCTGAGAGCAGCTGAATCAGGAAACTATTACCTAATATCTTTGATCTCCTTTGGTTTCTGTCTGAGACACTCTCTAGTGATTCTGAAAATGAAAGACCATTTAGTTGCCAGGTGTTAAAGTGTCCCCTGGGCCAGTTGTTGGGCATCACTGAATGGTTAATACCAGGATAGGCAAACCCCGGCCCTCCAGCTGTGGTGAAGCTACGAACCCCATCTTGCATCTGCCTCTGGGAGTCATGCCTGTGGCTGTCAGAGTCTTGAAATGCCCAACGGGACTTTTAGTTGCACCACAGCGGGAGGGCCAAAGTTTGCCTGCCCCTGATTTCAACTTTTTGCAATCTGTAACAATGACCATTGGCAACACTAAAAAGTGCACTTACATTATGCCGGCCAGGAAATCGGCATACAGGTTATCATGTTTGATTTTTATACTGAAAGCATTTTTTTTCTTCAGTAATACTTCAAATTAATGCAAACATAAACTGTGTACCTGTGTCCGGATTACGGACATTAAAGTGTTTGCATATTCCTAACGAGCAGTAAAACAAGCTCTCATTGACCTCTGTTGCAGTGTGTTCTGGGAATTAATTCATCCTCGAAAATCACAACAGAGGCTCTAAAGTCGGATTTCATTCAGCTTCTAAAACCGGGATCAAACCTTTGCAGTGATTTACTGCATGTTGTGTTACGTGTTAACGTGTTGGGTTATGGTAGCCTATTGAATAAAATTGGCTGTCAAACACCCGAAAACACACCTGACCTGTGCATTGCATTAGCGCGTTTTGGTGCCTTTCAAAATGAATGACAATGCAACACACTAACTTGTGCATGGTGCAGTACTGTGTGTTTTGGTAATGCAAAGCAGTGAACCCAGCCTAATAGCTGACCATCACATTATTATACAGGATTTATATAGTGCCAACAGTTTGCGCAGCGCTTTACAATATAAGGAAGACATTACAATCACAATACAATTCAAGACAAGATGGTAAGGAGGGTCCTGTCCCTGAGGGCTTACAATCTAAAAGGGAGGGGGAAGTGATACATGAGGAGGTAGCTGTGTGGGGATGAATTGTTTGAGAACGTGATGGTTGAGTGGTTAGGTTGAGGTGGGATAGGCTTCCTTGAAGAGATGAGTCTTAAGGGATCGCCTAAAGACAGTCAAGGTGGGATACAGACGGACAGGTTGGGGTAAAGAGTTCCAAGGGTGGGGAGACTCTAGAGAAGTCCTGGAGGCGAGTATAGGAGGAATTGACAACAGAGCTGGAAATCAGGAGGTCTTGGGAGGAGCAGAGGGCGGAGTGGAGCAAATAGAATCACACTCTACATATAAAATAAGGGGCAGTGAGCTGAATTTTAAGTGCCTTTGTTGTAAACTTTAGAGATTAATTTGTCCACAATGCCCAAAGCTGGAAAGGTGAATGAGGGCTTGTTTAAAAGTGCTTTTACTGCTTGTTTAGAATACATAAATAACTTAATGTGCATCGTCTGGGCACCGG